TAGCTTAAATCATCCACCAAATTGTGAGTAAAGTATTTAGGACCTTTAATTTCCGTTTTTGTGAATTAATCATTGCCTGAATCCAATTTCGAACAACCTTCTTCGAGAGACACGACCTGAGGTCGGGATTTATTCCATACTTGGCAGAAACACTACCAACAATTTACTTTATATAGTAAGATTTTCCGCCAAATAAATATTGGTTACTAAATAAAGAAAGTGTTTCAAATATTGTCCTTAACTATTACAACACCCGTGCACTACACGGGTATTGAATTAAAAATATTTATATCAAAATATTTAAAAGATAAACATAATATTCCTTCTTATCCATTAGTCTCCCTTATTAGAAGGTCTAACCAAGAGACCGACCCGATGCGCCTCGAGCTGGTAGAATGCTCTCTATGCTATGCTCGTATGCCCTGCTCATCAGGTCGATCCATCGACCAGTCATGCTCTTAGGTCAAGTTTCAACTTGGCCATCCGAGAGGCCAAGCTCGATCTGTCGATGTTCCTTTGAACCTGCAACGTTTCCATCGACCTAAGAACGTTTTGCCCTATATCTCTGTTCGACCTCCTTTCGATCTACCTGTTGTTCCGTTCGAGTGAACAAGTAGTATTTCATTGCCTTTTAGTTTAGTCAATTGTGTGTAATATTGTTTTTGTTTCTATTAATAATATCTATAATCGTTTTGACGAAAAAAAAGAAAAATTCAAGTCAAAATGTAAGGAGAAATGAGTTTGAATTATCTTTTTTGTTTTCGTCACACTATTAACTTCTACTTAGTAATAAAATCATGTATTGAATTATGCCTTATGGAAAAGCTTTTTTCTCAATTTCAAGAGTTTGAATCACATGCCTAGATTCCATGCTATAAAAAATATTTAAACGAGTAAGCATTTTCCTCAATGAAAGAGAAGATTAATGTTGTTTTTTGATGAAAAGTGGTCGTCTCTTTGTGACCATAAACCATGATTTGTTGTAAGATTACCAATCAAGCAGACCAAATTTCAATGCATTTGACCCAATAAAGGTTAGATGTTGAATTTGTACCACGTTATGTGAGATTACTTGAAGAAAATATGTACGAGTTAAAATTATTTAATTGGTTGTAGCTCGGCTTTATAACTATTGTCAGTGATGCAAATCAAATAGTCGAGGATTTTTTTTTTTTTTTGGAACAATAGAAAATTTATATATTAAAACACACAAATGTGCAAATGGTACAACTCGTAGTTGAATAATGCAACCAAAAGTTGAATAAACTGGGAGAAAAAGTCAGAAGATTACCTAAAATCGACACTAGCAACGCTAGTTACTAAAACAAGACTCACGACACGACAGATACAACAAACAGTAATAAAAACTACCAAGCTCCCTGACATGCGTTATATTTACGTGCATTTTATAGTGATTTTCGTGTCCGTTTAGTCGTAGTTTGGTATTTAATTAGTTATTATTTAATTAATTTTATTAAGCTATGATGAGGTGTTTTATTTGAGTTTTGACAGGAAATAGGAGTGGAATAAAAATTGGAGTCGAAAACCCAAAAATCGGCCAAAGAAACGAAGTGGAACCATGAAATGGCCGGGCCCAAAAGCACAACCCTTGGAGAGAAGTTGGTGATAGGCCCAAATAATGTCTCTAGCTCATTAGATATGATCTCAGCCCACATGGAAATAAGCCCAATTGGTAAAAGTTAGTAAGGGCACACAAGTCATTTGCAAGGAGTGAGATCATCTTCTTCCTCATGTATTTCACGCAGCAATCACCATGGCGCCATCACAGCTCGCGACCAGCCACGGAATCCGCCATGTCCGACCACCGGAGACCACTTTTAAGACTTAAGCAACCATCCTTATCGACGGAGAAGAACCCTGGACGTCAAATGCACGCCGGAAAAGCTGCGCGACCTGAAGCTGCCGGAATCCGTCATGCACAGCACCTGGAATTTTCTGAGCACCGGAGACAACTTAGCCGACCTCTTTCGACGTGATTTTCACTGGTGGACGCCGGAATATCGTCCAGGAGATAAAAGGCGCGCCGAAAATAGAGTTTTGGACTCCCAGGTACACACGGGTCGTGTGAACCCGAGACACGGCTCGTGTCACACTTTATCACACGACTCGTGTGGCTTATGACACGAGTCGTGTGACCCTGGGCGCGACAAAATCCGGATTTACGCGTTTTTCCTATTTTTTTCGGTATTTTCGACCTATTTCGACTAGGACTCGACCCCGACTATATATACAACCCTTGGACACGTTTTTGAGGGGTCTGGGACATAATTTTCACATCTTTGGAGACTCTTGGAGGCTAGAAACATGAGCAAGACGAGGGAGAAAGCCGGGAAGAAAGGATCGACGGAGCCGAATAAGCTTTTTCTTTCTTTTTTCTTTTCCTCTTTCGAACTCAATCTTTTATATCTATTTTTCTTATTTTGAAAACATGTTTCTAGGCTAGATTTATCTTAGATTCTAGGATTTGTTAGTACTCGGATTGATTTATGATGTAGTTTTTATTTATTTCATTCCGGTTTATCTTTCATTTATAAATTTCTTGTGCTTATTATTATTGTGTGAGTAGATGGCCACTATGAATGCATATTTGTAATTGATTTGAGACCGAGAGGAGATAATTAATTGCTAGAATTGGGAGATTTATAACGTAAGAGAATAAACAGACCTAGAGGTTGATAGGATCTTGCGAGAGAATGAAAATCCTAGGAACTTATGGGAGTTAGTTGTTCATCTTGAGACCGAGAGGAGATAGATAATAATTAATATCTACGATTTAACTTGTTCGAGAGAAAGGTTTGAAATCAATTTAGCGATTATCTCTACCATTGGTAAAATTAAATAAGGTTTGTCTGAATATAAACGTTTCATGAATTAATTCCGAGGAAAGCATAACCTAGAATCTACCTTTTGTATCTTATTTATTTTTATTTGTTTAGATAAATTAGTTTTTAGTTTAATTCTTAGTTTATAATCATCATGCAATTCACTAGTCTAGATAATATTTAATCGTCGTTATTTTAGTACTTAATTAATTTAACTACAATCTCTGTGGAATACGACCTTGCTCGCCACTACCTATAGTTACTCCGTACACTTGCGGATAGCGAAAATAATTAGCGAACACTCCCAAAAGGAGAATAGAAACGTTCTCAAATGAATGATGCCCGCTCTCAGTCGGACTCACATAAGCCAACAGCCTAAACAAAAAACACAATTCCTAACAAACAAACAAAACTATCAAACACACCTAAAAACAACTAAATAAAAACTAGCTCTTCCTTAGTAGCACAAACATTTGATCCACTTGTACTGTAGGGGGGGATCCCCCCCCCCCCCCCCCCCCCCCCCCAATTTACTATGTATGTATATACACATTATTGGCATTTAATCAAAATTATATTCTTTACTTGACTACATAAATATATTGTGTAAGCATATTCAGTTTATACCTACACTCAATAATAATTATTAATAATTATATTACTTTGTCTATTAATCATTTTTATGTACATTATATTTTTGTAAGTAGTTTTTCATTCTTCATCTATAATATTTGGTGTTTTTTCTTTGTACTATAAGATTTAAATAAATTGAATGTGTATCAACATGTAACATATTAAAATAAAAAATTTTGAAATAGCAAACAATGCCAGATATGCAATTTCGTGGGATTGCTGAATTAATTGATAATGAGTTCCCTTAAAAGAAGAAAAAAAAAATCAACTGTTAAATTCATGTCAACGTGTATAAAATTGGCCCGATGTCTTAGATTACAATAATTGAAAAGGTTGTGATTTTATTTATTAAAATTAAAAATCCGTTCAAATCTATGATATTTGAAAAGGCCATTTGAACTGACCATTTCAAATGTTGGAAACTGAAGTGAATAATGGACTATCTACAATTCTGCATGCAAGATGTGTAATTGTTCTTGTATAATTGGAGAGAGAAACACACGAATTAAGTTTATGTATGGTTTCTCATTATCTGTCAACTTGGACAACATTGAATGACGACTAGCCGCCATGCACGCGTGAAAGTGCAAATCACAGAGTATATAATGGAAATATTCAATTTACCTCAAATCATCCAAATTTAATTCGTTGTTTTGGAGAATTTCTCGTGGCATTTTTTTTTTAACAAAATAGTTATGTGAAAATTTTAATTAATTGGAAAAGGGGCATACGCTTATATAAGATGTCTTTATTAATGTATAAAAAAAAAAAATGTCTTTATTGAAAAATTAATCATATTCTAAGCCCAAACCCAAGACCGGGGTCCTGGGTTTGTGGGTGTATGAAGTTGGCAATATTTTTAACTATAAAAATAAATTATTTTAGTATAGGAACCCATTTCGACTAATTCAAATGGTCAACTGAGAAGAATATTTTTGGAGACTGATTGAAATGGATAAAATGATCTTATCCAACTTTTAATAGTTGATTATTGAAGAAAATTATTAATTAGTCATACAATAAAATTGTCATAAGCCTATCAGATTGGTCATCCAAATACAACAATGCTAGATGGTTTTTAAGGCTATAATTAAAAAGTTCCAATTTTTTATATATAGATATACAGATATATTTTCTTTTGACCCTAAACTTGTCATATGTATAAAGATTATAACATTAACGTAAGTAAGAGAAAATGTTTTAAATCTATCATTTATATTTTCACTTGCATTATAATTCTCTCTCTAATTCACTTTAGAGGATCCAATTATAATCATGTGTACGCTGAAAACAGCATATCAATAATAATAATAAAGAAAAATACAGTAATGAATAATCTATATATATCAAAATAAATAACTGGTCAACTAATCCACTTATTAATTCAAATAAATGGCCCGTGAAATCCATGCCATCTATATAATAACACACATACACATAGATCACCCTCCAATATCCCCTGAAAATTAAGTATATATAGATAAACATATATAGCTTCCTGCACTGCAAACAGAGTTTAATATAATGGGCAACTGCTTGTGCAGGCGTGAATCGAGCCAAGTGTGGGCCACGGTCGACCAATTATATGATCCGAAACAGAGTTTAAATGTGGCTCTTGATGATGATGTTAATGGAGAAGGCAATATTAGTCAAGCTTTTTCGAGTAGTAATCGTGAGCTAGTTAAGGTGAAGATCACAAAGTGGGAGCTTTTGGAGATGGTGGCAATTGCTCGAGTGGAAGGCGTGCCTGTGGAACGACTTCTCCTTTCCCGGTTGATTGATCGTTCGGGATTTGCTCCTCCGCCCGAGTGTTCATGGGAACCTGTCCTAGGTACCATTGCCGAGTAGATATGAATATTGGACAATTTAAGCCTGCTGTTCTAATGTCCAATTTGTGGATTCATTTGATTTTGTTTGTAAATGGTTAGCATGTTTTAGTTTTAATCTATTTATTTTCTATCCTATTGGTGCATTGAGCTAAACTTCTATATTCAACCTCGGTGCTTGATCTTGATACACATCATTGCTTCTTTGAGGCCCATGAAATAAGATTGTCTCTTAAGTACACACAGAAACCTATCACAAATCTTCTATCTTCAACATCACTGCCAATCTGCATTTGATAAGGCACTCAATGTAAGTCTTTTTTATCTTTCAATGTGTAACCCATGATTGGATGTCCCTGCAAGATATTTGAGGATTATTTTCACTGCCTTTAAGTGAGTGTGAAGAGAATTTGCCATGAATTATGACGCCCTATTTACACTGAATGCTAGCTCTGATCGATGTAGTGATTGTTTCATACTGTAAATGTTGTAAGACACCCACTAAACTCCTGTAAAACTTAGCAGCATCTTCCAAAGAGTCACCTTCTGTTTTTGAAAGTTTGGTTCAAGGTACCATAGGAGTTGGTAATTCTTTACTCTTTTTCATTCATGCTCTATCTATAAGTTGTCTAATATTGTAGTTGCCTTGATTGAGAAACAAGCCATCACTTGTTTCTGTCACCTCTATACTACAAAATTGGTGCAAAGTTCCAAGGTCGTTCAAGGAGAAGCATTCTTGAAGTTGTTTGATCACAGATGAGATCAACCCTTGATTATTCCCTGTAATTAGAATGTCATCAACACAAATAAAAAGAAAGATAGTGCCCTGATTTTTTCTCTTGTAAAATAGGGAATTGTGTGCTTTAGATGTCAGAAAACCAAGCTTAATCAGCTCATTTTGCACCTTATGAAACCAAGCCCTTGAAGCCCATTTTAATCCATACGGCGCCTTTGACAATTTGCAAACTGTTTGCTAATTATTTTTGCTATCCGCAAGTGTACGGAGTAGCTATAGGTAGTAGCGAGCAAGGTCGTATTCTACAGAGATTGTAGTTAAATTAATTAAGTACTAAAATAATGACGATTAAATATTATTTAGACTAGCGAATTTGATGATGATTATAAACTAAAAATTAAACTAAGAACTAATTTATCTACGAAATAAAAAATAAAACAAGATACAAGCGATAGATTCTAGGCTAAACGTTCCTCGGAATTAATTCATAAAACGTTTATATTCGAACAAACCTTATTTAATTTTACCAATCGTAGAGATAATCGCTAAATTGATTTCAAACCTTTCTCTCGAACAAGTTAAATCGTAGATTTTAATTGTTATCTATCTCCTCTCGGTTTCAAGATGCACAACTAACTCCTATAAGTTCCTAAGATTTTCGTTCTCTCGCAAAGTCCTATCAACCTCTCGGTCTGTTTATTCTCTTACGTTATAAATCTCTCAATTCTAGCAATCAATTATCTCTTCTCGGCCTCAAGTCAATTACAAAGATGCATTCATAGTGGACATCTACTCACACAATAATAATAAGCACAAGAAATTCATAAACGAAAGATAAACCGGAATGAAAGCAATAAAAACTATATCATAAATCAATCCGAGTACTAACAAATCTTAGAATCTAAAATAAATCTAGACTAGAAACATGCTTTCAAAATAAGAAAAATAGATATAAAGTATTGATCAGTTCGAAAGAGAAAAAGAAAAAGAAAGAAAAAGCTTATTCGGCTCCGTCGATCCTTTCTTCCCGGCTTTCTCTCTCGTCTTGCTCGTGTTTCTAGCCTCCAAAGTTCTCCAAAGATCTGAAAATATGTCCAAAACTCCTCCAAAAACGTGTCCAAGTGTCTCTTAAATAGTTGGGGTCGAGTCCTAGTCGAAATAGACCGAAAAACTCGTCAAAATAGGAAAAACGCGTAAAAGTCGATTCTGTTGCGTCCAGGGCCACACGACTCGTGTCATTGGTCACACGAGTCGTGTGACAATGCCGAGAGCTCAATTAGCGACCCTTTGAATCGACACGAGCCGTGTTTTACGTCACACGACCCGTGTGAGTCTGGGCGTCCAAAACAGCTCAAAATCTTCACTTTTAGCCCGTCTATATGCTCTTGGTCGGTTTTCCGGCGTCCCAGTCGACTCCCGTGGTCTTAATACGTCCAGTTGGTGCGCCGGCGATTTCCGTCCATATTCCGGTCACTTCTTGTCACCATACAGGGAGGTGGTACACAAAGCCGACCCTGGGGCAGGGCCAGTGAGGCGGCCACCCAGGGCCCAAAAATTTTGAGGGCACCATTATTAGAAAATTTTAAAGAAATTCTTTTTTTTAGTATAATTAATTATTAAAATGAGTTAATTTTTTTCCTTAATTTTCACATAACTAAATATAGTTTTTTTTTGTTTTATGTGAATTTCTAATGATGAAATTAATTTATAATAATTGATAATTAACTTAAATATTTTTTATATATATTTTGTTCTCTCATTTTGTCATTCGATCGATAATCTTTTTTTTTTTTAACTTCTTACTTGAATATGCAAAATTTTACTTGTGTGCATATAATTCAATCATATATGTGATAGTCATTATAGGGCATCAAGTTATCCAATTTAAATGTGAGTTTCAATTTGTTGTTTATTTGGTTATTATATATATATATATATATATATTAGAAATAATATTAGTATTTTTGCAACAAAAGAGTTGATTATTCGAGATTACAATAAAATTAAATATATAAATAATGTGAAAAAGAATTTAAAACCTTGTTTTCTAATAAAAACAATACGAGCACTATCTATTGATTTGGCCCAAGGCCTACAATTTTTCAGGACCGGCTCTGGTGGTACAACTTCTCCTCTCGGTTGCTAGACTTCTCCGAGGGCGTCTAAGGCGGATAACGGTGGTATTACGGCGTCAGGTGGTCGGAAAAGAGGCCGTAGAGGTGGTTTCCTGCCAGTTCCGAACAGCTCCCGGCCATTTCCGATTGCTTCCCATAGCCGGCGAGGTTTTGACATCCAGGCTTATTCTCCGGCGACGGTATGGCAAAGACGGCCATCAAGGTGGTCTCCGGTTGTTAGAATATTACTTGTAGGTTGTCCCACATTGATTCTATAGGGAAAATGAGCCTAGTATATAAGCCTAGTGAGCTACTCCTCCTATTACCAATTGGTTTTGAGATAGAACCTCACTATGGTGCACCTAGGCTCACCCTCTTATGGTGCGCTTCATCTGGTGGGACCGCACCCTCTTCTCCCGATTATATAAATCTAATATGGTATCAGAGCGGGCCCGTCTTAGGACCTGCAATGACTCTCTCTACCCGGCCTGCTCTGGGCTTGGGCTTATCTCTCTACCCGGCCTGCTATGTGGGCTTGGGCTTACGAAGGACTCACAAGTGAGGAGGCGTGTTAGAATATCACTTGTGAGTTGTCCCACATTGATTCTATAGGAAAAATGAGCCTAGTATATAAGCTTAGTGAGCTACTCCTCCTATCACCCATTGGTTTTGGGATGGAACCTCACTATGGTGCACCTAGGCTCACCCTCTTATGGTGCGCTTCATCTGGTGGGACCGCACCCCTCTTCCCCCGATTATATAAATCTAATATTTTGTCAGTATGGGCTGGTCCAATTAATATTGACTCCATGTGAGCAACTGAGATTCAAAATTGGGCCAATTTTATTAGATAGGGTCTGTTCCCTTCGTTTATTTGTAACTCGCGTGTGTTTGTAGGTGAAAGGTTCATTTGGTTCGGACTGCCTTTGACTATGTTGTTTAGTTTGGTATTTTCTAGGCCACAGTTTGGTGGTTCTTCGTATTTGGAGTTTTTGCTCCAAGTCTGCATTTGTACATTGATAATGGATAATAAGGAATATATTGGAGAATAAGTTCACATATAGGCTAGAACACATGGTATAATGGTATAGGCCAAGCCCATACCATTATGCACTCTTGATTTGGAGCGAGTGCTGGGCGTCGGAGGCCCGACGAAAATTTTTTACCCTTTTAATTTGTAGACATAATTGATCGCATCATGTCGTACCAAAACGTGCAAACCACGATGTCGGAGGGTGTTGAAAAGCGATTCATTGAAGTGCTACTTGATGAGTTGAGGTAAGTTTAGTAATTCGTTTATGAATCTCTATTCATTCCGCCTTGGCCAAGGACTTTGAATTACTAACTATGAAACACATAGGAAATTCACTTATCTTCATAAGTGTCGAATCCTTTATTGGCCACTGACAAACTTCCACATATTAATATAATACCCAAAATATCCCTTTATACGATTGTGCTAGCAATCAAAAGGATAAATCAAAGTAAAATATAATATGCACAAAGTTACCATCGTGCCTCAAGTCTAAGGATTAATCATGTACTATTGTAACATGAAAATTCTTATTCGACATATAAATTCTCATTAAGAATTTTCATACGGTCATATTCAGTGAACTTGTTCTCTAACAAGCACCCACATATATGTATTTGCGTCCCACGCTAATGTTGATGGAATGCAACATTCTTGTCCAACAAGTATACATCATATGTGCAAGTCTTTTCCGGATTTATTCGATATCCCATCTCGAAACATCCAACGACTTGGAACTATATTTAAGATCACAGCTTTCAAGGTATGTTCCATGATCACCATCTCTATGCGCAACCATACCTTATAGCTATATGTGATCTACGGATAAAATCCTAAGTGCAAATATAGGATAAATGCTTACTCTTAAAATAAAGTAATGCCTTTTAATTAATACAATTCCAATAGATTGTATTTACAAGTAGAATACGTCCAATCTGATTGGAACGCCGGGTATCCTACTCTAACACCTTATACCACAATACGGATCATAATTCATTTTACAGTGATAGATCTGCAAGCACATAATCTTTGAAAGTGAGTAAAATCGATCAACCACCTATTTACATTATTGAACACATTTGCATCACCATACTTGGCCAATAAACATGACCAACAAAGAGAATGAACCATTATCCGGAACACCGCCTAAAAGAAGGTTATTTCAGGGATCCCTACAACCAACTTGAGGAAGAGTATGCCTACTAAAAGTTTTTGAGAATGAAGGGAAATCTATATAAATAAACATCACGTCCCTGCTAAAATTGGACACACACACACACACAATTATTTTAATGCAATGAAACAACCCCAAAATATGATAGAACTAAATT